TTACCCTCGTTTCTTTTATCAAATAGTGTTTTTGTTTATCTTCCTCTAGTTGAGTTCTGATTGTCAAACCATTGAGGCTAAATTAAATTGGTACTGTCTGCAAGTTTGGGTGTTCTTGTATATCTTCCCTCACTTCATATAAGCTGGATGCTTCACTCTCAGCTATAGCCCTCCGTGGCTATGTCTTTGTCCATGGGCTCAGGAGGCCCCAGGTCTCACCGCACTTTGTACCAACCAACCCTTCCTCTTCTCTCTCTCTCATCTCAAGGTCAGTGGGAGTCTTTGGAATGTGGTTTATGTCAGCTCATATCTTCATTGCTGCCTTTCCCCCTTTTCTACTCACCAATAGACCAGTGTGGTCACCAGCAAGCTTATATGTCTGTTCATGTGTTCCCTTTGAGTTTCAGTCTTGGAGTGGAGTTTGTCCTGAAGGGGTTTGATTGCTTGCATTGAGAACTTTCTGGCAAATAACTTGCTTATTTTGCCTTTTTTGTTTTGGGTTTTTCTTGCATATCTTTCTTTGAAGATGGATCTTCTGTCACTCTAGCTGTGCCAGGCTGGTCTGCTTGTCCTTTCTAGTGGGAATGTCCCACCTCAGAAGGTTTTGGGTGGGGCTCAGGATGCCAACTAAGGTCCTGTACACTGCAAAGACTCTGTAAGAAGCCTGTTTCACTAGGCAAATTGCAGAACCCCTTTTAGGTATTATAATCAGGCTGAAGACGGGCTTACAAGTGTTCTGTAATCATCTTTCCCAACATTCCTTTCTATCCCACTCAAGTGTCTATTTTACAGTAGTAGGCGAGGGAAACCAATATTCATAAGACAGTCAAGCATCTTAGTATTATTTCCCCTCTTCAGACTATGCCTAGATCCCTGTATCACAGAGCCCTGTTGTTCTGAGATTGAGCATGCATCATTATTTACCTTTGCCCATTTAGCCCATGCATATCTGTCTCAGTGGTCTCCTATCTACCTTGTTCTTCCACCCTGTACCCTACCCTGTACCCTACCATCTTCTCCCTTCACCTTCCTCAAACCCCCCACCCCAGCCCACTGGTAACCAACAAATAATTTTCTTTTTTTCCCTTTTAGTGTGCGTATCTTTTCATAAGCTTTTACAATAATGGTCTTATGCAATATTTGTCCTTTTGTGACTGACTAATTTCACTCAGCATAATATCCTCAAGGTTCATCCATGTTATGTGGTGGCTTGCAGCTTCCTTTTTATTTTTCAAGGTAGCATAATATTTCATTGTGTGTATGTATTACATTTTGCTTATCCATTCTTCCATTGATGGGCACTTAGGCTGTCTCCATCTTTTTTCTATTGTGAATAGTGTGGTTATGAACATTGGTGTGCATATATCTTTTTGTATTATGCCTCGTATTTTTTGTGGGACTATACCAAGTAGAGGAATTGCTGGATAATAGGATATTTCTATTTCCAACTTTTTGAGGAACTACCATACTGTTTTCCAGAATGTTTGGACCATTTTGCATTCCCACCAGCAATGTAGGAGGGTCCCAGTCTCTCCACATCTTCGCCAGTATGTATTGTCCTCTGCTGTTTTGAACTTTGCTGTTATTGCTGGTTTGAAATAGTATCTCGTTGTTTTGATTAGCATCTCTCTAATGGCTAATGGGAGCTCTGGTAGTGTAGTGGCTACGAATTGGGCTGCTAACCTCAGGGTAAGCAGTTCGAAACTACCAGCTGTTCTGTGGGAGAAAGTCTCACCTTTCTGCTCCCGTAAAGATTTACAGCCTCGGAAACCCTGTACAGAATCACTATGAGTCAGAACCTACTCCACGGCACATAACAACCAACAACAATGGCTATTGATCGTGAACATTTCTTTGTATGTTTGTGTGCTGCCCGAACGTCTTCCTTGGTGAAGTGTCTGTTCATGTCCTGTGCCACTTTTTTATTTGGGTTGTTTGTCTTTTTCTTGTAGAGGTGTTGTAGTTTCCTATATATTTTAGAAATTAGTCCCTTGTCTGACATGTCATTTAAAAAAATTTTTTTCCCCATTCTGTGGACTCCCTTTTTACTCTTTTGCTGAAACCTTTGATGCACATAAGTTTCTTATTTTTAGAATGTCCCAATCATCTATTTTGTTTGTGTAATTTTCACAATGTTTGGTAGTCTGTGTGTGCCCTGGATTTGTTGTTGTTGTCACGTGCCATAGAGTCGGTACTGACCCATAGCGACCTTATGCACAGCAGAATGAAACACTCCCCGATCCTGGGTCAACCTTGCTACTGTTGCCACGCTTGAGTCCGCCGATGCTGCCACTTGGCCAATCCATTTCATTGGGGGTCTTCCTCTTTTTCTCTGACCCTCCACCTTAACAAATATGATTATCATTCTCCAGTGACTGGTCCCTCCTGACAATATATGTCTGAAGTATACCCTGTACAGGGTCGCTTTGGGTCGGACCCGACTCGATGGCACTTAACAACAACAACAACAATGAGAGACAAAGTTTGGTCTCTTGGCCTCCAAGGAGCACTCTGGTTGCACTTCTTCCAAAACAGATCTATTAGTTCTTTTTTTGCATCCCGTGGCACTTTCAATATTCTCTTCCAACACCATAACTCAAAAGCATCAATTCTTCTACAGTCTTCCTTATTCACTGTCCAGCTTTCGCAGCCCTTCAATTTGTCCCTAGTTTTCCACTGATGACCTTTATAATTCTGGGATTCACATTTAGGTCTTTAATCCATGCTGGCTTGGCTTTCGTTTATGGCATGAAGTAAAGATCTTGTTTCAGTCTTTTGCATATTGATTTCCAGTTCTGCCAGCACCGTCTGTTGAAGAGACTGTGTCTTCCCCACTCAGTGTACTTTGGCTCTTAATCAAAGATCAGTTGGCTGTATGTGGATGGGTTAATTTCTGGATTCTCAATTCTGTTCTATTGATCTATGTATCTTTCATTGTACCAGTACCAGCTTATTGTGACCACTGTAGCCATGTAGTAAATTTTGAAATCAGGTAGTGAAAGGCTTCCAACTTTCTTCTTCTTCTTAAGCAGTATTTTGCTTATCTTGGGTCTCTTTCCTTTCCACATAAAGTTTATAATTGGTTTTTCCATCTCTCTAAAGAATGTCATTGGAATCTAGATTGGGATTGCATTATATGTATAGATTGCTTTGGGCAGTATTGACATTTTCACAATGTTAAGTCTTCTTATCCAGGAGCATGGTATATTCTTCCATTTTTGTAAGTCTCTTTTGGTTTCTTGTAGTAGTGTTTTGTAGTTTTCGTTGTATAGGTCCTTTGTTTCTCTGGTTACATTTATTCCTAAATGTTTCATCCTTTGGGTGGCTGTTGTAAATGCTATTGCTTTCCTAATTTCCTTTTTAGGGCTGTCATTTTTAGTATAGAGGAATCCAACTGATTTTTGTATGTCTAACTTTTACCCTGCCACTTTACTGAATCTTCTAATAAGTTCCAGTAGTTGTTTTTGCTGAGTCTGTGGGGTTTTTTATGTATAGGGTTATATCATTTGCAAATAGAGTTTTACGTCCTCTCTGCCAATTTGGATGCCTTTATTTTCCCTATCTTGCCTTATAGCTCTGGCTAAGACTTCCAAAACAATATTGAATGGAGTGGTGATAAAGGACATCCTTGTCTAGATCTTGTTCGCAAGGGGAAGGTTTTCCATTTCTTTTCATTGAGAATGGTTAGCCATTGGTCTTTTATATATGCTTTTAATTATGTTGAGGAATTTGCCTTCAATTCTTATACTTTGTTGAGTGTTTTTATTAGGAATGGATGTTGGATTTTGTCAAATGGCCTTTTTCTGCATCAATTGATATGATCATGTGGTTCTTTTCCTTTTTCTTATTTACATGGTGGATTATGTTGATTGTTTTTCTAATGTTGAACCATCCTTGCTTCCTGATATGAATCCCACTTGTTCATGATATATTATTTTTTTGATGTGGCGCTGGGTTCTGTTGGCTAGGATTTTGTTGAGAATTTTTACGTCTATGTTCATGAGAGATACTGACCTATATTTTTCTTTCTTACTGACATTGTTCTCTGGTTTTGGTATGAGGGTTATGCTTGTTTCATAAAATATATTAGGAAGTTTTTCATCCCCACCTATATTCTGGAATAATTTGAGTAGAATTGGTGGCAGCTTGTCCATGAATATATGGTAGAACTCACCAGTGAAGTCATCTAGGCCTGAACTGTTTTTGGTTGGTAGTTTTTTTGATAAACCTGGTCATTTTCTTCCTTTGTTTTAGGTCCGTTCAAATTTTCTACTTCACTCTGTGTAAGTTTAGCTAGGTCGTGGTTTTCTAAAAATGTATCCATCTCCTCTAGATTTTCAAATTTGTTGGGGTACAACTCTTCATAATATTCTGTTATTATCCTTTTGATTTCTGTTGTTTATGTTGTTACATCACCCATGTTTATTCTATTGCATGTTATTTGTGTCTTCTTCCTTTTTTCTTTTGTTTGCTTTGCCAATGATTTGTCAATTTTATTAATCCTTTCAAAGAACCAGCTTCTTGACCTGTTGATTTTTTTTTTCCTATAGTTTTTCTGTTGTCTATCTCATTTATTTCTCCTCTAATCTTTATTATTTCTTTTCTCTTGGTGACTGTAGGTTCCCTCTGTAGGTGTGCTATAGCTGAGGAGGGCTCAGTCTTTGCTTTCCACTTGGGGGGGATGTTCTGGCTGCAATGTCTCTTAAGCTGTGTCTATGCCATTCTCTTCCATCTCCCACCTCCATCACAATTTCCCAGCATGGCTTTGGATGTAGGAGCCCTGGTGGCATAAGCAGGGAGTGCTAACCATAAGGTTGGTGATTCAAACCCACCAGCTGCTCCAAGGGGGAATGATGGAGCTATCTGCTCCTGTAAAGATTTCCAGTCTCTGAAACCCTAAGCAGCAGTTCTTCTCTGTTTTCTAGTGTTACTATTAGTTGGAATCAACTCAGTGGCAGTGGGTTGGCCTTGAATTGGTGTCCATCTCTTTTCCCTTGCAGATCCCAGAAATTATACACTTTTGCTGTGACTTCCTCATGTCCTGGGTGGATGAGGAAAACATCCTTGACGTGTATCGGCTAGCAGAGCTATTTGATTTGAGCCACCTGACCGAGCAGCTGGACACCTACATCCTCAAGAACTTTGTGGCCTTCTCACGGACTGACAAGTACCGCCAGCTCCCCCTGGAGAAGGTCTACTCCCTTCTCAGCAGCAACCGCCTAGAAGTCTCCTGTGAGACCGAAGTCTACGAGGGTGCCCTGCTCTATCATTATACCCCTGAGCAGGTGCAGGCTGACCAGGTTATGCTTCATGAACTTCCCAAACTCCTGGAGACTGTGCGGTTCCCGCTGATGGAACCCGAGGTCCTACAGCGGCTCCACGACAAGCTGGGTCCCAGCCCACTACGAGATATAGTGGCCAATGCCCTCCTGTACCACCGGAATGAGAGTTTGCAGCCCAGCCTGCAGAGTCCTCAGACAGAGTTGCGTTCAGACGTCCAGTGTGTTGTTGGCTTTGGGGGCATTCATTCCACACCCTCCACGGTCCTCAGCGACCAAGCAAAGTACCTGAACCCCCTATTAGGAGAATGGAAGCACTTCACTGCCTCCCTGGCGCCTCGGATGTCCAACCAAGGCATTGCGGTCCTGAACAACTTTGTGTACTTGATCGGAGGGGACAACAATGTCCAGGGATTTCGTGCTGAGTCCCGGTGCTGGAGGTAGGAGAGGCACTTGTCTAGAAGTCACAAACTGAGGGGGTATAAGTTTAGGGATGGGTTCAATGGGACAATTTGCCATGGCCTGAAGCAGTGCAAGCATGAAGAGATGTTCTCCTGTGGGCCTCTTAAGCAAATGTTGCAGCTTGTCAAGGACTCAGCTGTTCTGTAGAGAAGGCTGGTTGACTCAGAGAATGGAGATGGCAGTATAAGGGGGACCCAAGTTCTCTTCCCATCTATTGTCACTTCTTCCCATTTGCAAAGTCTTGTTGGCCAGGGCTTGGTTGTGAGTAAACAGTGAGCACCCAACTGCCAAGAGCCAAAGCATGGGGAGTTCTGGGCAGGAGGGCCTTGGAAGAGGGGACATGGGAGCTGGAGAGCTGCTGGACCAGGCAGTCACTTCTTTCCATATGCTCTCTCTCCAGCATGGTGGGGAACAGCTGCCTGCTGATGTTCTGGGTGAGCAGTGCTCAGTTTGGAGACACAGGGAAGGCTGCTGAGTACCATGTCTCCTCTGAGAGTATCATCCACTCCTCTACCTCTTGTCACCAGAGATTGCATTTTAAAGCATTGGTGCAGGAACTGCATAGAAAAAGCTACCTAACTTGTAACAAAGTCTTGCTTTATTTTTTTCCTTTTGTGGCATCTAGATGATCTGAATACTGATAGTAGGCCTTACCGGGTTGTAGAAGTTGGTCCCAAGTTACCACGTCTTCATCATAGTTAAAATAATTTGTTTTATTTTGCTGTAGCATTTCCATGACAATTTTCAATGGGATTATAAAACATTAATAACCTGAGTACCCACTGTCATTGAGTTGATTCTAATTTAGTAAGCCTGTAGGACAGAGTAGAACTCTGTAGCGTTTGTGAGGCTATACCCCCCATCTTTATAAAGACAAAGCATACTACCTCATCTTTCTCTGGTGGAGTAACTAGTGGGACCCAGCTGCTGACTTGTTAGCACCTAAGTGTTTAACGTACTATACCACCAGGGCTCCATAGCTGTTTGCTACCAAAAAACCAAGCCCACTGCCCTCGAGTCAATTACATAACTCGTAGGGATCACACAGTAGTACAACTTTCCCATACGGTTTTCAAGCCTGTAAATCTATATGGAAATAGGCAACCATATCTTTCACCTGTGAATAAAACATAAAGTGTCATGAAAATTCTAACGTCATGGATGTACAGAAGAAAAGCAGTGTTATGAATTTACCAAGGACCCCAGAAAATGTTGATAGTAGCTCTTTGCTTTATTTCTCAATTTGTATAGGTTGATTCCAAACCTAGATTAAAATGCCTAGAATTGTTCAGATCTTTATATATTGTATATATATATATTAAAAAAGCAGATTTTTGTTATCTACAAATTACTGGCTTGAGAATTTATCCTGACTTTGTAGAAAATCAATAAAGAAGATGTGGAGTGAGGGACATAGTAAGGCGATAAGAAGCCAATGAAATTTTAGTTGCGTCCGAATCACAAAAGGATAATATAAATGTGTGTGCACATTTGTGTGTATGTCCTGGTGTGGAGCTGTGGGTTAACACGCCAGACTGCTGAGCCATTTGAACTGTGAGGTTGGCAGTTCAAACTCACCATTCGCTCCTCAGAAACCCTATTACAGGGTCACTATGGGTCGGAACCAACTTGATAGCACTTCACAACAACAGTGGACACAGGATTAATCGCTGGACTGCTAATCAAAAGCTTGGTGCTTCAAACACATCAGATGCTCCACGGGAGTAAAGTCCTGGCAGTGTGGTCCTATCAATGGTATTGCTGTTTTTAAGTGCTGTTGAGTCAGTTCTGAGTTACAGTGACCCTGTATAGGATTTCCGAGGAGCGGCTGGTGAGCTTGAACTGCCAACCTTGAGGTTCAAACCGACCTTGCAGTCCAGTGCATTAACCTTCAGTGTCACATCAGGGCTCCATTAAGATTACACTCTAGCAAACCCTATGGGGCAGTTCTGCTCTGTCAGGTGTTGCTATGAGTCAAAATTGACTCAACGTCACACCATAATAACTGTGTGTATGTGTTATTATTGTTGTTATTAGGTGTTAACGAGTTGGTTCTGACTCATAGCTACCTCGTACACAACAGAACAAAACATTACCTGGTCCTGCACCAACCTCATAATTGTTGCTACGTTTGAACCCATTGCTGCTGCCAGTGTGCCGATCCATCTCATTGGGGGTTTTCCTCGTTTTCTCTGACCCTCAACTTTAACAAACATATCCTTCTCCAGGGGCTGTTTTATTATTCTTCCTGATTATATGTACAAAGTATGAGAGACAAAGTCTGACCATCTTGGCTTCCAAGGAGCATTCTGGCTGTACCTCTTCCAACACAGATCTGTTTTTTCTTTTTGCAGTCCATGGTACTTTAATATTCTCCAACAGCATAACTCAAGTGCATTGATTCTTCTGCCGTCTTCCTTATTCACTGTACAACTTTCGCATGCATATGAAGTTACTGAAAATGCCGTGGCTTGGGTCAGGTGCACCTTATTCTTCAAACTGACATCTTTGCTTTTCAACACTTTAAAGAGGTTTTGCGCAACAACTTTGTTTAATGCAATATGTTATTTGATTTTTTTTTTTTTAATGTTTTATTGTGAATTATGTGATAGTTTACATGGGAGAACATTAGTTTTACATTTCATTGCCATGGTTACAATCCTCTCCATGCATCATCAACCAACTAAAGGGTGTTACAATACAAGCCTGCCCACGGGTCGTCAGCACACAGCCCCTCTTCTCTCTGTGTCTGAAGTCCCCAGCTGTTCCATCTCTCCACATCATCATCTCTGCCTCCATCTCAGGTGTCACTGCTTCTCTGGGTAGGTTCCCGCTCTCTGCTCTTCTCCCTTGATGGTCCCAGGGACCTCCACTCCTAGACTGAAAAGTTAATCACTCTCCTCCTTGCTACAAAACGTGTACCTTTACATTTCCAATCCTCACAAGCAGTCCTGTCATTTGATTTCTTGACTGCTGCTTCCATGAGTGTTGATGGTTGATCTGAGCAAAATGAAGTCTTTGAAAAAACTTCAATCTTTTCTTCATTTGTATATGGATATTATTTATTGGTCAAATGGTGAGGATTTTTATTTTCTTTACATTGAGGTGCAAGCCATATCGAAGGCTATGGTCTTTGATCTTCATCAGTAAGTATTTTAAGTCCTCTTCATTTTCAGCAAGCAAGGTGTATTATCTTGCTTATCACAGGCTGTTAATGAGTCTTCCTCCAATCCTGATGCCATATTTTTCTTCATGTAATCCAGTGTCTCAGATTAATTGCTCAGCATACAGTTTGAATTAGTATGATGAAAGAATACAACCCTGGCACATACCTTTCCTAATTTTAAAACATTCTTTGTTCCATTGTTCTAACAACTGCTTCTTGGTGTGTGTACAGGTTCCTCATGAGCACAGTTAAGTGTTCTGGAATACTCATTGTCTGCAATGTTGTCCATAGCTTGTCATGATCCACACAATTGAAAGCCTTTGTGTAGTCAATAAAAGCACAGATAAATATCTTTGTGTATTCTCTGCATTCAGCCAAAATCTGTCTGATGTCAGCAATGATATCCCTCATTCCATGTCTACTTGTAAATCTGGCTTGAACCTCTGGAAGTTCTCTCAGTGTATGGATGCAGCTATTTTTAAATTATCTTTAGCAAAATTTTACTTGCCTGTGATAGTAATAATTATTAGCCAATGGTTTTCGCATTCTTTTGGGCCACCTCTCTTTGAAACGTGCACAAACATCGGTGCCTTCTAGTCAGTCAGCCAGATAGCTGTCTTCCAAATTTCTTTGCATAGAAGAGTGGGTGCCTCCAAAGCTGCATCAGTTTGTTGAAAGTTTCAATTTTTATACCATAAATTCTTGATGTCTTGTTCTCTTTGTACTTCTGCCTTCAGTGTCATTGGCTCTTGATCATATGCTACCTATGGAAAGCCACCATTTCTTTTTGGAATAGTGACACTGTGTACTCCTTCCATCTTCTTTTGATGCTTTCTGAATCATTCAGTATTTTGCCCATAGAATTCTTCAATATTTCAAGTCATGGCTTAAATTCTTTCTTCAGTTCCTTCAGCTTGAGAA